TAAAAAACTTATATCCCAGCACCCACATTGGACTGATCATAATTGCCAGTTCCATAGGACCCAGTGCCCTCTTCTAGCCTCTGCAGGAGCACATACGTACACATAAGTAATATTTTTAAAAAGCTTATATAGTCTTGGGCGGGGTGTAGTGATACACACCATAATCCCAGCATTCAAGTGGAAAAGACAGGCTGATCTCTGAGATTGAGACCAGCCTGGTTTATGGAGTGAGTTCCTGGCCAGCTGGGGCTATGGAAACTGCCTCAAAAAAAACCCCAAACAAAACAAAAACAGTCTTGAGTCTGAATTGAATATGAACTTTGGCTATTTTGTCTTGAAAAAAATATGTACGTTACCTGGTTGTCTTTGTGAATCCTGGAAGAAGCAAGTATCCCTAGTACCGAATTTTGGTGGTCTTAAAATACCACTTACCATTTTGAATGGTGAATAGCTTGCAGAGACATGGCTGGTTCCAGATCTGGACAGGAAATGTTCAAGATGAACCTAGAATATCTTGTCATAACAGATTACCAGAGAGCTATCAAATTTCTAGGATTATGTCAAAAGGATTCATGCACTAGCTTGAAGAGATTTCCACTGGGTAAGATGGAACAATTTGAGTCTCAATTATAATTGTGGTAGGTTAGAACATAATATGTGGAATTTGCAGGTTCCAATGATACATTAAAACTTAGTCAGCTGAAGATGATGATAGAAAACCAATTCATTTTCTTGAAATTGGCGAATAAGGTGAAAGAATTATGTATTTGTCTTACTTAATATGATCTGAACCACTAGGTAATCAAATAGTGGTTGGGGAAAATGTATTGTTACTTTAGTATTCTAACTAGTTAATGAAAAAATTGTCAGAATATCATCATTTTCCATTTTGATGGATGGACATTAAATATTAATAGGTATTAAAACTGTGCTATAGTTTGAATCTGGAATGTCTCCCAGAGGTCCATGTGTTGGCTTGTTTGGAGGTAGTAGAAACTTTGAGATGCTTCATAGTGGGAGCTCTTAGGTTATTGGGGCCTACCCTAGAAGGAGATAGCAGGATGCTACCACTTCTCTTGCTCTTTTTGCTTCTTAGCTGCCATGAGATGAACAACTTCCTCTGTTATGTATTTGACAATGTATTATCTCTACCAGAGGCTCTAAAAGTAATGGGACCATTAAATCCTGGACTGAAACCTGTAAAAGTAGTAATCAGAATAAATCTCCCATCATAAGGTGTTTATCTCAGGTTTTTATGACAGTGGGAAACTGACTCACATTGTAGACATTCACATACTACCTGAAAATGTGTCAAATAATTCTCGAGTCTTGATCTAGTTTCCTGGATCAAGTTGCATGTTTGCAGGAAATAACATTAACATGTTGAGATATACCATGAATCAGCAAAATCCCGACTATGGGAAGTTTGACAGTTCAAAAGGCTCAAGTTCTTTAAAATAAAAACTAATGAAATATAAGGGATGGAGGAGGGGTAAACATTAAAATTCAAGACTTTTTTAAAATTTTTTGTGTATGCGTTTATTACCTGCATGTATGTAAGTGCACCCAAGTCATGCAGTGCCCATGAAGGTCAGAAGAAGGCATTGGATCCCCTAGAACTGGAGTTACAAATGGTTGTTAGCTGCTGTGGTGGTACAGGAATTGAACCTGGTCCTCTGCAGGAGTAGCCAGAGTTGTTAACTGCCAAATCATCTCTCCAGCCCCCCAAAACATAAGTTTTAAATATGGGCAAGATTTTAAAAATTTCCTAGGAATGCACATTTGGGTGAGAAAACTTAAGTGAAAACCATACAGAAGTGATTAGTGTTAGTTACAGTGAGAATAATTGTTAATTATGTGGAAAGGAAAGGGCCTATGTGATACGGCAGTTGGAAGTTGGTACGTTTGATAGTTGTGTTTCTTGACGTAGGTAATACATTAAGCCAAACATTAGATTTATTTTCTCTATCAGCTTCATTTGTAAAGAAAAATGCTTTGTACAGTGCTCGTAAACACACGATAAATATTTATGATGGGAATCTTTAATTGGAAATGTCTTTGTAGACTTATTTTTACTTTCTGTTAATTTGGAGTTTCAAAGCATTCGCTGACTGCTTCCAGCAGAGAACTGAGTTTAAATAATTGAAATGGCAGGTAAGCCAATCATTATAATTCTTCAGTTAGATGGAATCAATATAGAACTTACCTTTGGAGTGAGCATGATTTCTCAGTTGCTAAGGGCACTTGCTACGGAGCTTGGTGAACCTGAGTTCTATGCCTGGAAGCACATGATGAAAGGAGAGAATCAAATCCTCCCAAGTTGTTCTCTAATCTCCACATTCATGCAGTGGCACACATATAAACACAAAAAAAGAATATAATAAAAAATTATGAATAAACTAGATGATTTGTGTCACAGAGCTGAAAGATTACTTTAAAAATAAAAACCAAAACATCCCATTTTTTTGTTTATTTAATATTAGTGTTTTATTTTGCAATGCTAGAGATAAAATCCAGGGCCTTAGGAATGCTCGGTAAGCACTCTTAACTCTGAGCTATGTCCTCAGCCCAAAAGCTTATTCTTTAAATGCCACAATTTTTCTGAAGGTATATGGTACCTTTGTATATTTTGCGTTGTTCTTTGCGTTGCTTATGACTCTCACTGATGGTTTATTAGATCTGGCTGCATTTTAGTTGCTGTTTCTCATTCATGTCAATCACCTAGATGAAACAATAAATACTGGTCACTTTATTGTTCATGTTTCTCTGGCAACTTCCTTCCATCCTACTTTAAGTTATATCTAATCACCAGGCAGATTAGTAGTGACAACTGCCTTTAATGTGAGTCTCCTCATCATTTTTTTAATCCTGTTAACTTCAAACTCTTGAATTTGGTAGCTATTCCCTAAGACTTTTGCCAGGGCCAGAGCTAGTAAACAACTCTTTTGCCTTGAGGGCAAAATTTAAGGAAGTGCCACAAAGCATAGGTATCAATGTAAATAGCATTTAAATTCATTATTTTTAAAAATGAGGAGGGTGTATGTTAAAAAAAATCTATGATGAACAAAAGATCAGTTTTAAATAAAACCAGAATCTGTGGGGCAAACTTCTGTAAGTCAAGTGAGATATCAGGCCATGTAAATACAGAATTGGATCTTGTCTCTTAAAAATTTTGATATTTTATTCATTATGCACTTTCAGCATTAATTTTGGTGTTTTTTTAAAAATCATTCTTAGTCTTAGACTCCTGTTATTTGATCTCCAGAGAAGTAGGATCTCAGGGTATATATTCACGTTCTCCTCCGAAATGCCCTGGAGTAACTATAGTTAGGTGAACAATGAGAAATGCATTATATTGAATTGCACTAATATTTTAGAAAATTTTTTACTTCCATTATTCTTTGACTTGATAGCACCCTCATCCTCTGAGGATGAGGAGTTGAAGCATTTCTATAGTATGTGAGAATTAGAATTTTTTTTTTTCTTAAACTGCTTATTGATGCTGGGAGTTGGCAGTACAGGCCTTTAATACCAGCACTTGGTAGACAGAGGCAGTGGATCGTCTGAGTTCCAAACCAGTTTGGTCTACATAGTAAGGCCCTGTCTCAAACAAAAAAAGAAAAGAAAGAAAAAAAAAAAACAAGGACAGAGTGCTTACTGTAGTATTATACCTTTATAAGGAATACAAATTTGAGCAAAAGTAACACCCTTATTTCTTTAACCATGATTATCTCAAGGCTGTGACAATTTATTTAGCTACTTTTATATCTGGCAGTTGGTTTTTAACCTACTGACCATAATCACGTACTCCATTTGCTTGATACTGGCCATTAAGACCAGGGCCTTGTGCATGTTAGACAAGTACTCTACCACTAAGCCATATTCCTAGCTGGATTTTTTTTTTTTTTACTTTTTATTTTGAGGCAGCTTCTCACTAAGCTGCCCAAACCAGCCCTGAGCTTACTCTGTATCCCACTCAAGATCCTTCTGCCTTGTTCTCTCAAGTAGCTGGGATTACAGGCCTATTTCACCTGACTCAGATTTCATTTACTTTTATAAAAACAGTATGATTTGTTTTGTATGTGTTTCAGAGATGGAAATAGAAATTTGTTTAAAAAGCCATTTTATAGAAAAATGGAAACATTGGTGGATATTCTGAAAACCAAATTCCTTTTTTAAAAGTGCAAAAGTAAACATTTCTAAATGTGTATCACTTAGAAATAGTTATGTAGTTTTTAAAAAATTGCTATGTAGTTTAGATTTTGTAAAATTCATTGGTACCTACTTCTATGAATTATTATGTAACAACATCACAATCAAAAGAGGGTTATTCATCCCCCCAAACTTCTTTATCACATTTTGTATCTTTTGTGTTATCTTTCGGCACATCTCTTAATACTGTTACATGTTATAAATAACAATGGAATTTATAACACTGCATCAAATCTGCTTTCAGATACTATCTTCTTAGAGAAATTCATGATTTAATGGTCCCTGTATTTTTTTAAAATATTTTATTTTTATTTTATGTGTATGAGTGTATTGCCCTAGTGTGTAATGCCTCACCTGTGTCATGCAATGCTGCAGAGGTCAGAAAAGGGCATTGGATTCCCCTGGAACTGGAATTAAGGACAGTTCATAGTTGCCATGTGGGTGCTGGGAATCGAAGCCGGGTCCTCTTCAAGAGCAGTCAGGGTTCTTAACTGCTGAGCCATCTCTCCAGCCCTGAGGTATTCTTTAGATGCTACCAGATCTTTCCAGTGTTGCTAAAATCTCTGTTTAGTTTCTTCATTTTGGAGTCGTCTGATGTAACTGAGAGACAAGTTGTTGGAAACATCTTTAAATTTGTATTGGGTACCCGTTTTGTTGTTAAGTCAAACCATTAGAATTCAGAATTCTGTGATTATACTGGGAACATAGAAGCGGATGAGCGACTTCTTTATAAGGTATTAACAATGCACCCTATCCCTACCATTCTGTTCCTATTCCTGTTTCTGCAGCCCCTCTCCAGCTGCAGCCACAGCCACTTCCTCCTCCTCCCACTCCTCTTGAAGCAAGAGAGGCTTCAAACCTATCACCACTACCACCCCCTCCACCTTATTCCTGTGATCCAAGTGGAAGTGATCTGCCTCAAGGTAAATGTATTTTGAGATTTGGTAATGGTGGTTGAGTTTTGTTTTTTTTTAAATCTAGAGCATCTTTGGTTGACCAACAGGCAGGGAAACAAATGGAAGTTGATTTGAGTACATAATTCTAGGTGACTAACAAGGAGCAATGGAAAGTATCCGTCACATATTCAACAAGTAGATAATTGGGTTGACTCATGACTCTCCCTCCAGTCCTCTTAAAGCTACATGTCTGCCCTGAAAAAAATTCTCAAATAATTTTGGATAACTTTTACTTTTTAAATCAGCAGTTAATATTAAGAATTTTCTTCTATTTCTTAAATTCTTTCCAAAAGTATCTGAAATTGTTAACATTTTTTGATACTTGTATGCCAACGGAATTTTGAGGACTTGGAGAAAGCTCTTAATTTATCTGATTTGCTTGAATTTTGACCATGTGTTCTCGTTTCCTTAACCTTCAGTGATTTTTTTTTATCAGAAGTTCTTTGTTGCCCTAGTTTGACAGTATTGCTCAATAGAGAATTATAGTTGAATGTTACTAGCAGCTTGCTCGTACTTTCTTGCTTATAACATTTTCCTGATTTTTTTTTCTAGCTGCTGCTTTTATTCCAAGTTCTTTCTAGCCCTTGAACTAGTCACCAGGATTTTCTTCAACTCCATTGTTTTCCTTTTTCAGACATTACAACATCATTGTGTCTCTGGGATCTATTTCTAAAGCTGCCTAGCCTTTGCCTCAAATTTTAGTTCTTAGACATTTTCACGTAGCTTTTTAAAACTTTCATTTCAAACTTTTAAATGGTCTCTAATGAAATTCCTCATCTTTTCCCTCTTATCTTTCACCAGTCTACCCAAAACATTTATTCCTCTTCTTGGTTTCATATTTTGTAAGTATTATTGTTTCTAATTTACCAAGTATCTGAACCCTGATTTCTTTATTCTGTCTACCTTCTGGGCACAAAATGTATTCATTCAACCACCACAGAGTGCAGATTTTGTATTTTTCTTGCATTTTATTATGAAGATAATTAGATAAATGTGTTCATTTTTAAAATTGATAATTATGTATCACCAATATTCTGCAATTAATGTTTAACTATACTTGTTTATCACACATTGGCCCATCTTTCCTTCCATCTATTTTTCTGTGAATTGATCTTGCCTGTTTTTTGATGGATTTAAAAGTGTAAATTATAGGCATCATTAGACCTCCCCCAAAAGAATGTATAATGAAAATGGGTATATATACACAATGGAATGCTATTCAACTGTAGGTGAAATCCTGTTATTTGTGGATGAATCTAGAAGGCATAATATTCCATAAAGTTAGCTAAATACTACATGGACTCACTCATTCCTGGAATCTAAAAGAGCTTATTTTATAGAAATACACAATATAGTAATTTCTGGAGAGTGAGAAGGGTATGGGAGGTAGGTAAGTGAAAAACGTCATTGGAAATAGAATTTAAGTATGTATGAGGAATGTGTTCTGGTGTTTTCTTTGCACAGTAGAGTATAGCTATTGTATATTTCAAAACAACTAGAAAAGATTTTGAATGTTCTCACCATGGAGAAATGGTGGATGTTTGTGGTGATGAATATGCTTATTTAAACATTTCATTATTGTACAATGATTTCATTATTGTGCAATGTATTCATGTATTGAAGCATACTGTAACTTACTAATATGTATAATTATTGTGTTAATAAAAATCAACACAAAATTAAAGCTTAGAAACAAGCATATGTATCACTAGTGTTCAGTGTTTAGTATCTGATTTTGATACAGAGATTACATGTAATGAAATGTACAAAACGTAGATGAACACTAACAGTTTTAACAAATTACATGTATACAGTTAGATGACTCAGTTCTCAAGGAATAAAAACATTGCCATTCTTTCTCAGGATTTTATTTTTATTTTATGTGTATGGGTGTTTTGCCTGTCAGTGCACTTATGCATGCAGTGCCCTCAGAGGTCAGATGAAGACAATCCCCTAGAACTGGAGTTAACTGATGGTTGTGAGCTGCTATGTGGGTGCTGGAAACTGAACCTGGGTCCTCTGCAAGAGCGCTCAGTGTTCTTAACCACTGAGTCATCTCTTTTTTTGGAGATAGGATTTCCTATAGCCCCAGCTGGCCTGGAACTCGCTATGTAGACCAGGCTGACCTTGAACTCACAGAGATTCACCTGCCTCTGACTCCTGACTCCTGAGTACTGGGATTAAAGGCATGCACCACCATGCCCAGCCTCTTCAGTTTTTTGAATGAAGCATTTCTTGGGTGTATATGCATTTTTATGTATGTACAGGTACATTCATGTGTATGGAGGCCAAAGAACAACCTCAGTGTGGTCCTCAGTTCTTTGTTTTCTTTTTCTTGAGGTGGAGTCTCTCTTCTTCCTGCAATGGTTTCTCAGGCCGCCTCCCCCTCCTCACCCCTCCTCCTCCTTCTCCCCCTCCTCTCCCTCCCCCCCCCGGGAGTCTTTTAGATAGACCAACTGAAGGGGTACCCCAGTTGCCTCACCCTGCATCCCTGTTCAGCATAGAAGAAGCCAGAGTGGTCTGTGTCCCAATTCCCCATCGGCAATTTAGGTAACCTCTTTAAGAGGATGGTGTGATAAGAATAGGAGGTAAGAATTGGCTAGGCAGTTAGGGTAAAAAAGACCCCAAGGAAAAGTAACCAGTTTCTTGGCTAAAAGTCAAAATGTCCTTGGGCCTCTTAGCAACATACTCTGTTCCAAAGGCCAAAAGTGTCAAAAATATTAGGGAGCTTTTATCTAATCCTTAAAAGATTTTAGGGTTACCTCTGCAGAGGGGGGAATGTTAAGAGTAGCCAGAAGCCCCATTTTAAAAAATAAGAAAAAAAAAACCCTGAATATTTGTACAAAAATTTTTCTGAACATAGGTTTTTAGTTCTTTTCAGCATGTACGTAGCAGTGAGATTGCTAGGTCAGAGAGAGTGCTAGGTCAGAGAGAGATGTATATAGAAAGTTCTAAACATTTTTAACAAATTGTTTAAATTGTTTTATATTATACTCCAACAGGCAACTAATTTCAATTGTTCCATTCTCACTAACCTTTACTATTAGCATTACCTTCAATATTAGCTGTTTTGATGACTGATGAATACTTAAAATCTTTATTTTATAGAGTAGTAGATAGAATTAGAACTTTCTAAGTTTATCCTTCCATTATATAAAATACAGTTTACTTTTGTGTGTTAATCTTGGCCGATGTATTAGAAAATTGCCTTTGTTAAAGGGTTTTAAAAAATATCTACTGCCTCCATCCTAGGGCATACCTTTAAAGCCTGTTCCATAGACAGAATAGTTCTGATGAACTAGTATAAGCTACTTTCTGTCTCTTTCTGACTTAGAATCCTTCCATGCATCTTCAGTTCTTACAGAAATAGATTAAGAATAGTATTTGTGATTTTCTGCAGTATGCAATATAGTCTATGCTACATTCTACTCCTATCTCCTTGCATTCTTATGTGGTGTCTGTGTAACTGATTTCTACTCCTAAGCATTAGGACTTAAATCCTTTCTGTATCAACTCTAACGTGTAACTTTCTGTTAACATCCCAAAAGATCTTTGTACTTATAATAGTTCCTCATTCTTGGCCTTAGTTACTGCTCTACTTTCTGTTTTTATCAGTTCACTTGTTTTGCACATTTCATGTAAATGGAATCATAACAATATGTAGTCTTCTGTGTTTGGCTGCTTTCATCCAGCATAATGTCTTTTTTTCTAAATTAACATTTTAGTTGGCTTACAAATAATGGTACATTTTTTAATTATTAATATTGAGACAGGGTCTCATGTAGTCTCATGTATGTACACAGTGAAGACTTGAACTTAGGTTGCTCTTGAACCTTGATCCAGAGTTCAAGGTTCTAGGATTAATTATAGACACATCACCATACTCTGTAAGATAATGGAGTTTATTATGACATTTTCTAGTTCATCCATCTCTTCGTCCATCCGTCTGTCCATCTAGTCTGTCTGTTTACCTCTATCATTATCTATCATCTATCTTGTGTATCTAATCCTATCTTATCTATCTATAGGACTATATTTACCTTCTCAGCCCTCATCCTTGGTCCACACTATTGGTCATTTTTCTTCCCTCAGATAATCTCCTTTCAGTTTTCATGTCTTCTTAATTAGATATTTATATATAGTTAAATTTAGATTCACGTTAGAAAACAACATACTTTGTCTTTTTTCTCACCCCTATTTCTTTCTTGTTTTCCCCTCTTCCTTTCTTTAGATCCCTTCCTTCTCATCACATAGTCATTCTTCTGCTACTTTGATGTTTCATTTTCTGATTTTACCCTTCTAGTACATTAAATACAGTTGATTTTGGGGTCTTAACCTTGGCTGAATGATTAAAATATGCCCTTAGAGAGTTGTTAAAAAAATCTTTAAAATTAGGTTCCACATATGAAAGGAAAACATAGTTGTCTTTCTGAGTCAGGCTTATTTTACTTAACATGATTTGTAGTGCTGCCCATTTTCAAATAGATGCATGAGTTTATTCATGACTAATTAAAACTTAATTGTGTACATACATGACACATTGTCTTCATTCGCCTATCAGTAGGTATTTAGGCTGGTTCTACATCTTGGCTCTTGTGAATAATAGCTTAATGTTTTTAGGGTTCATCCTTTTTGTAACATGTTTGAGTACCTCATTCTTTTTATAGCTGAATAATAATCATTGTATGGCTATACCACATATTTTTCAGTTGATTGAGATTTAGGTTATTTCTACCTTTTGACTATTAATACTGCTATAAACATTTGTGAACAGTTTTGTGTTGATGTGTGTATGTACCAAAGAATAGACTCCCGTAGCACTGTGAATTCACTTCCTGTTCTTAATCTTTTCATATTCTTTACGT